GGACTATTTCATCCGAAGGAGTCAATTTTTATTTAAAAGCGAGACATCTGCTATTTGTAAATTTCGTAAATCTTTTATCTTTAGAAATCTGTTGTAGCAAGTACGTGGTGTTTCTGAACGGTCATGATAATGTAAAAACACACGGATAATTATTATTATGTACAGGAGCCAACATCGGGCCTTGACTCCGGTGCTGCTCTCTCTCTCATGTCTATTTTGAAGAACTGTGCACGAAAAGAACATAAATCTGTTGTTGTTACAGTCCACCAGCCGTCCAGCCAGATTTTCCACATGTTTGATCGTCTGCTTTTATTAACTGACGGACAAGTAAGTTTTATCACATAATTGTTCATAAAATTGTTCAGTTATGCTAAATTTCAGTACATTTTATTTATCATTCGAATAAATCATTTTTACGAATAAACCAAACGTTTTTATTGTACTATTAAGGTCGTTATTATTATTCTTAAATTTGAAATTTAATATTTTTTGCGTTCATCACGATAATGCGATTCTTTTCATTTTTTACACCTTCTATTTTTCACCACGTTAAGGTAGTTTTTATTTTTTACTCGAATTACATTTTTTCCAAAATAAGATTATTTTTCAGTTTTACACCTATTATTTTTCATCACGATAAGGCAATTTTTAAACTTTTGCACATATTTTTTTATCGCAATAGGATTATTTTTCAGTTTTACTCTTACTGTTTTTCATTACGTAACGTTATTTTTTATTATTCTTATATATTTCACACGTAACGAATATGTAGTAAGATAGTAAAATATGAGATAATTTCACACCAATACGGCTTCTGATTGAAATACACGTTGAGGTTTGTCCCACCAATAAAACACATACAAATGTGATTAACGTTCTAGAAACGGTTTAGGCCTTTAGTGTTAAATTATGAAACACGTGTTCCACTCTATGCTTAATTTATTACTATGTTGGTAGGTCGCTTTCTTTGGACCTACACGAGGGATTTTCGAGTTTTTCTGTGAAGTTGGCTTACACATGACTCCACATTATAACCCTGCGGATTTTATCAGTGAGTATTATTTTTTCTCTCTCCCTTTTGAAAACTACGATAAGATTGAATATTTCAAGTTGACTAGGTTTAATATTTCAGATTTGTTTTATTTAGAAATGACGTCACTAGTTATATTGGCCGTTGCTCCTGCAAAAAAGAACATGGCGAGTACACGCTTCAAAGTAACCTACCAAACTTGCTGCCTTTTACTTCACCATGTGCGAGTTGTCTGCAGAATCCTTTTATAAGTCGATCTCTAAATAATAAAAGAGCTTGGAAAGTGAAACTTCTTAGCAAAGGATTCGCCAACTTTCATATTATCGCTAATTATCTTAATCTTTTGCTCATTCATTAAAAACATTCTAATTACACCTTCTGTTATAACTGTTTTTTAATGTATGATAATTTTTTCAACTACATTCTCGATGTTTTATTTGGGAGAATTGAAGGTAGTTGAAGTGTATAGAAATTTCCAATAGAATGTGTAATATTTATGTAAAATCAATGAATAATGCTTAAATATTTTGAATTATAAAATAATTGAGAGAATGATACCGTCAGAACTACCCCAGAACATCCCTACACGTTGTTGGTTAGTTTGGGTGTTTACGTAAAGTAAAGCTCGAATAATTACTGATTAAAACGTCTGAGTTATGCTTTCTATTTTGTCATCCATATCCCAGTCAGGACTTGATTTTTTTAAAATTTTAGTTTTGTTAGCATACAAAGTATAAAACTATTTATCAAGTATTAGTTTCTGACATATCAGTTCGTAAAGTCTTTCCAAATTTTCTTATTGTCCAGTTGAACAAGTAAGGAAAAACCCAGAAATACGAGACAAGCTTATAAAAGCTGCCCCAAACTTCAGGTAGGCGTCTTCTGAAAATATTGCAAAATGCAAATATTACTTTATGATATGCATTAAATATTTTGAAACAGCGGTCAAAAAATTGAGTTTAACTATAATTGGACACATTATGAAGATTAATAAAACGAGGAAAAAGTGTTAGATACCATTTTTCTTATCTTGTATTCAATGTTCTTTTTTAAAATATTTTTTAAGGCTTCAATTTAATTTTCACAGAACTTGCTCGCCTAGTTTGATTATTGGTTGAACCTACCAGCAATGGAAAGTTTTGTTCTTCACTTAAACTAGAATTAATTAAATAAAAAGTCTTCAAATTTTTTTATCTTGTTATTGAAATAGTTAAATAACTTGCGTTTTGTCCTCCTTCTTGGTACATACATTACTTTCTGATTCTTCTATAAACTTAATCATCCATGTAGTTCTAAAAAATCTAAGGTTTTTACCTTTAATTTCCATTAATTTTATTTATTGTGTACCGGAGTGATAAACTTTAATTTTTTCCTTAGATCTTCTTTTTAACTATAAAAGTCAGTTTATTTCTAAATCGGGATATCTTCTGTATTTTATTTTGTGGGGCAGTGAGCTGAAAGAAGTTTGTGGTACTATTGAAAGAATTTCCTCTATATCTGGACTGTCTCATTTGACAGATCCTACAGGTGAGATTTCATAAATATTTAATGTCATAGTGATTCTAAAAGTATTACATTGAAAGGTATGATTATATTATATTAAAACAAACCATGTTTCATATTACAATTGTCTTTCAATCGACTATAAAGGTAGTGATATTGATGTGTATAATAATATCCATGAAATAAAACTTCAACAACACGTATGAAGAAATAACAAGTTCTTCTATAAATACAAAAATAGAGGATATTGGAGATTCTGGAGTATCTTCTTCGTCCGACGCTTACAGCTCTGTTTTTAGCAGCGAAGTTTACCTTCCTGAAGAGGTTGAGAAGTGGCCCACGTGTTTCTGGACTCAACTAAAAGTGTTATCTCGAAGAAAGTTTCAAGAAGCTCATGGTCGAATGCTCTCTAGCCTGAACTGGATACAAACCATTGGATTAGGACTCGTGAGTGGACTTCTGTGGTTTCAAATGGAAAGAACAGAAACTAACCTCTCTGATATTCAAGGATGGGTAGGTTTTTCACATCATTATTATTGAGAAAAGCTAGAATATTCCATAACTGAAATGTTATTTTTGTTCTTACTTAGCCATATTCACTTAGAAAATCCCCAGCATGAAACAAATGACACGACAATATTAGAATTACTAACTTTGTTTAATTTACATTGATCTCAAGCACTGAGAAATGAAGATAGTTATTTTGTCTCGTTTTCTGAACTAACCAGTGAAAATTTTCTCAGTGTTTTCATTTGGATGTAACATAATAGTTAAAACTATTTTTAAAAATGCGATGTCAGGGGGTGTTAAATATTTCCGAATTAGCATGTTGTTTTCCATATAACATGTGCTACTGACATCTTATAAGACCATGAATTCACACTAAAAGGAAGACTAGTGTAAAACGATTGTGCTGACGTCTTATAAGACACTAAATTCACACTAAAAGGAAGACTAGTGTAAAACGATTGTGCTACTGACGTCTTATAGAGACACTAAATTCATACTAAAAGGAAGACTAGTGTAAAACGATTTTATTTTTATACCTTAACTAGTTTTGTCGATCTTTTCTGAACTTTGAAAATTTTCACAGTGATTTTAAGATATGAGAACAGAATATTAAACGTAAGTAATTTTTGAGCATCTCTCCAGACGACACTGGCACTAGAAACAAGCCCCAAATAGATGAATAAACCCTGATTGTTTTACTCAAATGTATCCAATCTCTTAAATGTTTTTGCCTATCAATAACACACACATACATCGTATCATATCGCTTTAATTCCCTTACTCAAAACACCACCAAGAATTCTATAGTTATAAACTGTATATTTTGTTCATTAACTCAGCAATACTTTAATATTTTTACACATTTATAACGAACAGAGACGCGATCAACTTTTCTCGTATCATAAACTACATTAGGGAGAAATAAGTACAAACAATGAGCCACTTCAAAAATGTTCCTGTTCCATTACACAATTTATTTAATTAAACGTTTTACAAACTTTATAGGCCATTTGTCATTCCCCAAAACACTTTTCATTATTAGGCCATCCATCATTCCTACACCACTTGCCATTCCTAAACCACTTGTTATTCCTAGTCCACCTGTCGTTCCTAAATCATCTTAATCATTCTTATGCTGTGTATCTTATTGTATACACACGCTAATTTTGTAAATAATGGTGAATATAATTGGGCAACATTAGCCGTTGACTAAATTGCTTTAGAGGATAGTAGAAATATGATAAAAGACATTATTATTATTATCATTAAATCTGTTTAATGCAAACTGGAGTTTATGACGAGACATTTTTATAAACGTAAATAAAATAACGACCTATGACTCCAGAATGTTACATTATAAGCACAATATTTCGCTATTACAGCTTCGTCAGGAGCTATCGATTTCCTACCATTTCACTAATCCACTAATTTAGATTCACCTGGATTAGTGAGCTGGTGGGAAATCTATAGCTCCTGACGAAGCTGTAATAGCGAAATATTGAGCTTATAATGTAACATTCTGGAGTCATAGGTCGTTATTTTATTTGAGTTTCGAGTTTGATTGTGTATTGATTATGTTTAGATGTTCTTCAGTATCACCTATTGGATGCTATTTGCGCTATTTGGAGCACTTACTTCATGTGAGTACATATTCGTTTTGTCTAGTTTTTGCAATAAAAAGTTCCAGTAATAATCACATATTATTTATATTTGTTTGGCGTTTTTATTTTTAAATCACACGTTACTTAAGATTGTCTTAGCTTATATTGGGAATATCTCATAGCCAGATAAACGTTTCTCTGTTGAAGTTTATGTGACAAAATAATAACTGGATAATAAGAAGTTAAATTAAATTGTTATTCTTAATCTACTTTCTTTTTACTACTTTTACTACTTTTTTTAGGATTTTTAATTAAAAGATTAGCTAATGTTTAAATCGTCAGTGTATTACCTCACTTGTAAGACAAACAAAACCCAAGGTTATTAATTGGTTAATAGCAATTATATTTGATTAGTCAATCAGACTTCAATGAGTGTTTAACTAAGGAAGTCACACCAGCTAGCCGCATTTTTAGGAACTGGATAAAGAAGTAGGAGCTTACGAACTTCAGCAATCTGATTAGCAACTGCTGACGTGGCTAAATGGTGTATCTTCAAATAGTCTGTTTATTATAGTTAGGAATTAGTTAAAAGAATAATCGCCTAAACCCTTTAAAGCGTGGGTAATCAGAACCTATGGGCAGCGTCGAAAATTCTGTTAATTGACTGTGAGGAAGTGGTCACAGAAGTTTGTGGAACGCTCTAATAGAGATTTTGTCCTCTATTTATATTTTAGGAAATTATTTCAAATGTATTTTAAAGTTATGATGGCTTCACTAAAAATTTTAATGGGATACAAACTAGTTTAATCTCGAGGGCTGATGTTTGATTATTTAATTTATATCCGGATCAAGTATTAAACGATTTATTTGAAGTAATAAAAGATAATACTCGTACAAAAACTGAAAGTCCCATTACTACGGCCTCCACACGGAGTTTCAAGATAATAGCTAACATATTTTAAGTTGAATTATGAAAAGCGGCTTAGTGAAGCTGCAAAACAATATCTTAACTAGAAACTTTTCCTAAACCATTTGTACCAACTAGATAACGATATTTAATTGACTTAATTTATAATATCAATTTTAACAGTCCTAGCTAGTTCACTAATATTAACATCAATAAGTGAAGGAACAATTATATTATAGAGATGTAGGTAAAGTTAATATTTGGAGTCTTTTCAGAGGAACCTTATGCTACAAAATAATATTCTTCAGAACTTTGAAAAAAAATGATGATTGAAAATGTGAATAAGTATATTTTCATGCTAGAAGCTTCAAATGACTTTAACAGCATCTGCATTGCCAGATGTAATTTTTCTGACACGTTTAAAGAGTGTTTTTAAACATAAAAACATTTACAGTTGACCTTACGTTGGTTTTAATATAAGTGTTATTTATTTAGACTATTGTTTATTTGTAATAACAGTCAGTATATGTGGAAAATTGTTCTTCTTTTCTCACAGTTCCACTTGAAAGGGAAGTGGTCAACAAAGAAAGGGAGTCGGGTACCTATAGACTGTCGGCTTACTGCTTGGCTAAAATGATTGGAGAATTTCCTCTCACTGTTACTCTCCCATCAGTGTTCCATTTCATCTCCTATTCGATGTTAGGGTTACATGATCCTCAGACCTTCCTGTGCCTGTGGGGATTTCTTTTTCTAAATACTGTAGTTGCTCAGGTAAGAACAAAAATATTCCTGTGTTTGTGGTGCTATTTTCTTCTCAACATTATCATTGCCCAGGTTAGAAATGGATTTTCCTTTGATTGTGGTGTTTATTTCTTTTTAATACTAACATTGCTCAGGTAAGGAGATGGACCTTCTTTTGTTTATAGTGCTTTTTGTTCTTTTTAGCACTATCATTACTCAGGTAAGAGTACACATCTCCCTGTGATTATGGAGATTTTTCATCTTATTACTCAGGGGAGAATATAGATTTTCTAGTGTTTGTGGTGCTTTTTCCATCTAATGACTCAGGGGAGAATATAGATCTTCTAGTGTTTGTGGTGCTTTTTCCATCTTATGACTCAGGGGAGAATATAGATCTTTATGGTGCTTTTACCGTCTCAAAACTGTCGTTTCTCAGGTGCAGAAAACAGAGAAATGTGATTACACATTTCGTAGAAAGATTATTTATATTTTTGCGAACGTTCCGCTTGCATACCTTTACAAGTTTATTTTTCAATGAATATGATTTGGTGTAAATCTATAAAATGTTTCTCGTAGAACACTTTGCCAATCATCAAAATAACCCTTAACATGCAAGACTCTTTTAGAACCGTATTATATTATTAATACCTCATTTTATCTCATCTTTCTCCTAAAGTATTAGAATTTGTCTTAAATTTCGTCTGAAAATCCTGGAAGCAACTACTCATATTTTCAACCTATGTATCAGTTTTTCTCTACATATACTCCTCTGTATCAACATACTTATTGATCAATCGTTTGTACTGGATAGACAGAAATATATACTATTATAAGAAGTGTTTATTATTTCAGATATTAAATACAAGTCTCGAATTGTTTTACATATTTATAAAATTTCTAGTTTTCTGTTTTTATTGTGAGCCCAAAAATACTGATAATCTTAATTTTTTTCAGATAGGTAGAACTTTCTTCTTCTACTTTTTGAGCCGTAGGGGCGTTATAATGTGACGGCCAATCCCACTATTCATTGGTAAAAGAGTAGCCCAAGAGTTGGCGGTGGGTGGTGCTGACTAGCTGCCTTCCCTCTAATCCTTCACTGCTAAATTAGGGACGGTTAGCACAGATAGCTCTCGTGTAGCTTTGCGCGAAATTCCAAACGAAACCAAACCTACTTCTTTGAGTATTGCCCCCCAGCGGCACAGCGGTATGTCTGCGGAGTTATAACGCTAGAATCCGGGTTTCGATACCCGTGGTGGCCAGAGCACAGATAGCCCTCGTGCAGCTTTGCGCGAAATTCCAAACAAACCAAACCTTCTTGACTATGCTGTGTATTGTTGCATCGGACACGTGGACGGCTCTTGCAACTGATCTTTGTGTTAGTGAATTTCCATATGTTGCAAGATGATACCGCACTTTGCTTACCAGGGTTAAGGTGCAGCTTTTTGCAGGTCTATTTCTAGATAGTCCAGGTACCTCAAGTTGATCCACATTCCTTTATTTTCCAATGCTATTAAGAACAAATAATATCTTATGAATATTTGGCGTCGCAAATGGCTGTTACATACCCTTCTGAATCACACTTCCTACGAAACACCAAATAATGTTTAAATGAAGTTTTGAAGCATTCTATTCCACTGCGGCCTTATATCGGCTGTGATTTTCATGTGACTTGTTGATTTGGATATTCAGAATCGTTTTAATATAACGTACTCAACCTTTATTTGGTCCTTTAAGGCTGTTCTTGCATACCTGCCCTTGAGAAAAGTGAAAATTTAAACCCACCCTATATTTTTCATGAAATCATTGATTCCCCTCTTCAACTCCCGTAAAGTGATGGCCTCCTCTTCTCCCAAAGGCAACTATTTCCGTAAAACAACCACTCTTTTAGAAAAATATGTTGTCTTAATTGTATCTCAGACTTCTTCCCCAAATCTTAAACTTGTGTCCTCTCATCCTAATATCTTAAGAACATAGCACAAATAAATCGGATGCCTTTTCCCTATCAATCGTCCGAATAATCTGATTACGTTCAATAAGATCATCTTTTAGTTTTCTTTTCTCAAGATAAAATAAGAAATCAAGATACAGCTCATATATTATAGAGAGTCACGTCAACCTCTTAATAAAGTATATCCATAATAAATAACTTATAACATGGAATTTCTTTTTTTTCCAATATTATACAAGTCTAACCAAGTATCAGTAATTCCCATTATGTCATCATCTTTCAGTCATCTTGAGAGATGAGTGTCGAAAAATTATATAAAAGAGTCTTAACAAATTCAAAGAAATTTCTCTGTAATATCTACAGTTTTAATACCGTTAAGAATATATTACTCCAAAAAATCTAAGTTTATTTTTACTTAACATTTACAGTTCTGGTTTCAATAAGAGGGCGCAATTCCGCGAATTTGCATATTGTCTACCAGAGACTGAGGACTGTACATATTGCTCGTATTTTGTTTCCTTTCAGAGCGCAGGGATCCTTGTGGGAGCGCTGTGTGTTGATCTTGAAGTGTCAGTAACTGTATCGGCTCTGTATTCCTTATCAACGATGCTGTTTGGTGGTTTTTACGCAAAGTCTATCCCTTCCTGGCTACTGTGGTTGAAGTATTTCTCCATGGTTCATTATGCCGTTAATAACATGCAGATTATAGAGTTTGGTGGTAGTTCGCCTATACGGTAGGTTTCCAATTACTGATATATGTTGTACGTCAATTAAAATAAGTGTAACATGCATAATTACCACTATATATATATAACAATTTAAATATTATTGTGTGAGTTTGTCCGTTTTTGAACAACGAAGTGAAGATTACCAAAAATGGCATTAAAGGTGGAATAGCTTTTATATGAATATATTATTAGTATTTGCATTTGCTTACAAGATTGCAGTAAAACACTTGTACGGGCGTGACATGACGTTGGTACACTGACTTCCAATACTATGTGATTGATTTAGTGCTGATAAAAATGTTGAATAAACTGTGGCAAAGTGTGCACCACCACCGGCACCAGCGAGGTTTATCCATTCAGTTAAATATCTCTGTAAATCATTTTCAGGTTGACAAATTAAAATTTTTTCAAGAAATTATATTTAAAACTCAGGGTTTGATTCCTGTGGTGAGCACAGCGCAGGTAACCCATTGTGCAGCTTTTCCTTTAAAATGAACAAACAAATGATGATTTAAGTTTATAGCTTTGTAGTCCACAATTCGTTTAACTTTATTAACACTTTCTGATTGGGTTGTAGATACTTTTACTCACTGTGACTATCATGGAAAGTTAGCTTATTGAGTTGTATTAAAGATACGTATAGACACAGATACAAATAACACTAGCTTGGAAGTCACGCGATTTTCGGCATGCGCAAGCGGCCGCCATTGCTATATGTTGAACTTTGAAAGCCCGCCAAGCGAACTGACAATGGCAAGGCGATCTCACCTCACAAGTTATGACCGTTTTCCATCTAAACTAGACGTTTGGATAATTTTATTTGAATAAATTTGTCAAGCCAAGATAATCTAAACTTGATTTTAACTTAGAAATTAGTGCAAAAATCGTTCACAAAACGCACACATCTGACCTGTCATATGAAGAATGCATTAGAATTTAGTCCAGAGGGAAATCTTAAGATTAAAATCTGTTCTTTTTCCTTGGTGTTTATTATGTGTCACAGGAATATATACATCTCAAATATCGTTGCCAATGGACAAGAGGTGTCACATCATCTCCTTTTCTTGGGGGGTGGGGGTGGAGAAGAATGCTATTTATATATCTGTACCTCCAAATATTCAACGTTCTTAATTAAAGTGGATGGGAATAATTAGGAAAATTTATTATATAAATATAATAAAATTCATTCGGATTTAATTGAGAATTTGAGGCAAAAATTGATACAAATGCTTGAAAATGTATATGTATATATATATGGAATCCAAAAGAAGTAATACAAATCATTAAACCTATTTCATCAGTGATACATTACATATACTGTACTAAGTCTAAAGACAATAAGTTTAGCAATGTTACTCTTTTAAAGACTTCCTTTTCCTCTTTTTCCGAGTTATAATCAAATGTTCTCCTCCCCTCCCTTCACCTACTAATAGGGCTTTTTTGGAGCTGAGCTCTTTCCCTCCAAATGGCCTCTGTAAGGTCTTATGATTAAAGGCTTTAAGCGTAGGAAAAAATACTTTGTCACAAGCCTCTAATTTTTATTGCGGCTTAACTTGTGTACATAACCAGTCTGTTATTGTAAAGAGAAAAAAAAGAATTCCTCATGATACTGGAAATTTATCATCTTGGTGGAACCCAGTTTAAGATATTACACTAATATTATTATTCTGTAATCAGAACAAAATATTTTGGATGAAATGCTAACATCCTCCTAATTAGAACAGTGAATCTTAAGAGCACCCTGCCATTAAGACCAAATATCATTCTCCATAGTAGGATTCACCTCTGAATGTCGACATAACAAAGTCAGGTTACTTAATTATGCAAAACATTTTATTTTACATGAAAATCATATATTACCGGTGTAGTACAAGACGTGGACAGATTAAAGCATGAAAATAGTGTTTTTATTTGATCTGATGTTGATTTTAGAAAAATATGACCAAGTTATGAAATTACAAATTATATAAACTTTAAAAAAGTTGTATGTTTTAAATAGGTCAACTTTATGGGTATATACTTAAATAATTAAAAACAAATGAGACGTGACGCTTTTCATTACCATTTCATTCTGGAGTTGTCTAATCTGTATATCATAATATATGTCCAGTATTTGCTGTAAGTACCTGTGCGTCTTACTCTACCATGTACATACCTAAATTTTCATTACCTAAATACATTTTCCCATCATGGACACTTCAATACAGTTCGTAATGGCCCTTTTTCAACTTGTATAAATTTACAATCGTGCAATAATTTTAGTCTACCAGCATGTATAATAGCAAATCAAAAGATTAAAATATAAATCCATGCTAGTTAGATGTCGCCATCGTATTCACGGCGATGTCGCCTACTGTAACTTAATATATTATAGAAAAATAGGTTTTACTTACTTGTGGAATGTAACGCCCTCCGCCTTCGACTGTTGGTTACGGTATGTGTAACAGTTAATGGCTTAGCACTGTGTTCCCTTCATTCTTTCTGGTCGTGACTTAAGTGGATGACTGTCACTCTCAGACATTTTACATTGTCTGCCAGTTCGAACTTCAACACATAGCAATGGCGGCCACACCCGTACTTGCCCCTCAATGATAAAGAGTAGTGACTGGCCAATCTAGAGTTATTTATATCTATGCATGTAGACGTCAAACATCAATTAGTGTCATCTGTTGTTTCGTTGAATTATTTACTACTGAGAAAGAATGAGTTAATAATTATATATTTCTTGCATTATTTATAGTGATTTCATGTATAGAACTAATTATTGTTGTTTATTAGTGCACTGTTTTACTTTTATACTGTGCAGTATTGCGTATTTTTTCTACAAGAGTTGGGTAGAAAAAGAAATAATACTGAAATTTACGAAACATATAAAAATCGTTTTATTAGTAAAAAAAAACGACAAACATTAAATGTGTTGCAGTTACTGATAAGATTCTATTAAGCATAACAATTAACGGCAGCAGTTCACAATGCTTACACGAGAGTCGTTATGTTGTTACTTTTTTACAGATAACACAGTAAGCTAATTTTAATAATGCACTTTAAAGCTACAGTTTTGTAAGCATTGGAACAAACAAACAAAAACAAACAAGCAACAATAGATGGAGCGTTTTTTACGTCAGATAGTGTAATATTATAGTTTAGTCAGAGGTACTAACGACAGTTTGTTGGGCTTATGTTAAAGAGTTGTGTATTATTTGGAACATTAAAAAATGTGCAATAGTATACCAGAAACGTTACTGTATATTTTCTTTGCACCAATCAATCATTCTATTAACTCCTTTTTTTTTTTAGTTGCGCACCTCAAAATTCGCAGTTCGAGCTATGTCGCCATGGAAACAATTCAGTTATTCCAGTTGAAGTCATCATTGAACATCAAGGAATGGTGCTCCCTCTGTGGGCAAACACTGTAATCATGTTGATATTTTTATGCTTATTTCGCATTATGGGCTACCTTGTTTTAAGATACATTCCAAATCCCAGGTAAAACAGAAGGAAACGTGTGTAAAGTTGGATTATGAATGAATGGAAGTAGTTATATGTTTGTTTTTAATCCAAAATCGCTCCAGACTTTCTTTTTTGCTAAGGAACAGTGAGTGTTTGGATAAGTTTGTGGCTGCCAAGCAAGGTTAAAATCACACAATTGTCTTTCTTACTAATGGCAATGTCTTTGACAAGCACTGTTACGCTCTATGGTGCACAAACCAGAGGTTGTTAGTGAATGATATTACAGAAGAGAGCATTTGTGCCACCTAAGAGAATTTAATCTTAAACTTCAAATGGGAGAATTGGAAAAACTTGTGTTACATATCTGCTTGTTTGTTCGTTTCCGGTAGAAATTATCCCGAGGATCTTCAGCGATACAAGTCATTTCTTGATTAAACCAGTTTATTCTTCCTCAATACAAACTTTTAGTACACAGAAGTTCCACAATCAGTACGTTTCTCGTCTCTTTAAACTTAACAACTTTTATAATACATGCTATAAATCACAGCGATTCACAATCGTAACTTCGCTCTCGAACGAGTGCAAAACACACACTTTACGGCTCACTAGCTAGAAATTAACAGGATCATGAATTACACGGAACTCAAAGTAACTACTGCTCTCTCTTCATTCATTCCTGCTGGCTTTCTCTACCAGGCTTATATACTAACGAAGAGGGCATCTCGAACACACTCGATCATTCGAGAAACTCATCATGCACGCTACCAGCGCCAACGCGCCAGCAGAGTCACGTGACTTCCGCTGTCGTAACACTTGCATTAAGAAAAAACATGGATTACAAACAGGGGTCTGCGTTTTAGGTTTCTGTTTTATTATATTTTTCCCGGGAATTGATCGATGTTTGTTACTACAACAACAAAAACAGATGAAACCTCTGCAGAAAACAAACAAAAACTATTAATAAATTTTCTGGGTAAATATCGGGGTTTATTTTGGTGGGTGGAAGGACAGGGGAAAAAGTATTCAGTAGTTTAATGCTGTGCTGAACGGGGTTCAATGTGGTTTGCTGCAGAACTAAAACAGAACTCAAAAACACAATGCTGCCTCTGAGTTTAAGAGAAACAGCATACCTCTAATCCCCAAATAAAACATTTGTTTGAATAAACAGTTTACTATTTTGTACTTGGAACTATTACCTTATAGATGTTTACGCTTAGGCTTAATAATTGGGCCCAATATTTTAAAATGTGTACGTGGTGAATGTAAACGTGTACTTCACGACTCACATGTAATGAGGTGGGCGTGAGATTTATCAGCGCATTCAGATGCGCACGCACTTTAGAGCTTGCGTGCCTGTCTGTTTCTTTATTGCGTGTTTATTCTAGACTTATACACAGCCTTACTTCAACAGGCAACTTTACATATACACAGACTAACGTATTATCTTTATATACATATCTCATGTAATCTATTGCATTTTCCAAATAAAATAAGTTATTTGGTATATATTTGAATAATACAAAAGTAGGGTGAAAAATCAGAAAAAAACAACAAACAACTAATAATACTTTTGTTAAGCCCGGTTTTTTAAAACTGAAAACACAGGGCCCTGATTACAAAGTACTTAATGGTATCAGCCTGAACAAAACAACAGAGGTACCAACGTTGCATGTGGATGTTCAATGATCAATCACACTAATTGTCAGAACACTTGTGTCTATTGCGAGGGTACTTGAAATCAATTTGACCGATTTAGGTATAGTTTCAGATCCACTACCAGTTTTACATTAATTAAAAACTAATATTCCATTAACTTTAACACATTAACGGAAGAATAAAGTCCTACAAAAATGGA